TATTATATTAATATTAATATTAATATCGACGTTATAATACTAAAGTAAATACTTATAAAAAGAGCGATAAAAGTTATAAAGAATAAAAATAAATAACTCGAAGAGAATTTTTATATTCTCTATCGCGATATTATTATTAGCGAATAATATTTAATAATATAAATATTAATAATATAGTAATATTTCGCTATTATTTATAGAGTCGCGTTATCTAACTATCGTTATTATTTCTACTATTATTATTAATTAATAATCGAGAGTATTATCGCGAACGCGTCGCTTTATTAATTATTCTCTTTAAATTTTTATAATAAAGATTATTACTATATTACTTCGCTATAGACGTAATACGCTATAGAAATAACGTTATTTATAGAGAAACTCTTCTTTCTTCTTTTACTTATTAGATTTTTAAGATTTTATTATAAATTCTTAAATCTAATATTATTCGCTATAGGGGTTATTAATTAACGTTATAGAAATATTAATATTAAATACGTCGATTTATTATAAATTATTATTAATTAATATTATAAAGACGATATTATTCTCGAGAGTAATATTAATATTATTATATAATATATTAATAACGCGCTTATAACGCGTAATAATTAATTCTATTACGTTATCGAAATAATATTATAATTAATTAACTCTTTTCTCTTATTTTTCTATTAGAGTTTAAAGGTTTTTTAATAAGCGTTTTATTTACTTAGATATTTAAAAATTAAGATCTAAAAGAGAAAGTAATTATTAAGTTTAATATTATTAAAGATCTTAGCGCTAATTATATTAAGATATCGATATTATATATATTATATTAAAAGTTCTTTTTAGAATTTAATTTTAATAATATATCTCTTATACTTAAAGACTTAATAGATATATATTTACTTTATATATCTCGAAGTTTTAATATTTCTTAGAGATTAATTCTATTATTAAATATACTATTAAATCTTATAACGATATTACGTCTTTTATAGTCTATATTCGCTAGCTAATCGCTAGTAAAATATACTCTTATATAATTCTTTTAATAATTAATATTCTTTAAAGAAGTTACTAATCTCGTTTTAAGTAGAGCGAGAAAAAATACTTTTAATAGTTTATAATTAACTTTAAGATAATCTATCTTTTAATTCTAAACGATTTAATAGTATTTTAAACGATTTACTAAACGGGCTAGATAATTTAAACTAAGAAACTAAGAGATTAAATTAATAGTTTTAATATTTAATCTAATTTACGATAAATTTTTAAGTATACTAGACGTACTTTAAGTAATAATAAAGAAGAAATTTCTTACGAGAGATTAAATTTAACGAAGGACTTTTCTAAGAGAATTCTCTTATAATACTATATATAAAATAGCGATATTTAGTAAATAAACTTAAGAATATTAAAATTTCATAACGACTTAATTAAATTATCTATAATATAGAGTATTACTTATATATATATTAAGTATAAGAGATACTTTTTAATAGAGAATTCTCTTATCTTATAAAAAGATCGACGTTAAAAGTTCGAAATAGCGCTAGTATTAACTCTAATTCTACTTTAGAAAGAAGACTCTAGAATAAGAAACTCTAGAATAATCTCTTAGAGTCGTTTGTAGAGACGATAGAGGCGCTAATCTTAAATATAATATAGTTTTAAATAAGAATTAGACGTATTATCTAGATAATCTTTCTAGCTAGATATTATTCGAGATCTTAATAAAAGTCTTAGCGTTTAAAACTATTAACGTCGACCTTCGTAGAATTTATTCTTTCTATCTATAAGAAACGCTATTCGTCTTATCTTCTACTATTTTATTTTTTAATATATATTTAATTATTATACTATTATAACGTTTATTAATTATAAGTTTAAGAAATTTAAGAGAGATACTTTAATTACGATATTATTTAATATCGTTATAAGATAATTTCTCTAATAGATTTATTACGTATATATAATATATCTAATAGCGAAGATCGATTATATTATCTTAATTAAAGAAAAAACTATTACGAGCGTATTTTTAATATATTACTTAGCTCTATAACTAGCGAATCTTAACGAAGACATCTTCTATTATATTATATCTTCTTTTTATATATATAATTCGATAGTCTTATTATTCTATCTATCTCATCTATATTAATATCGTATCTATACTAGTTCTAATAAAAACTACGAATCTCTAAGATATTAAGATTATAAATCTAAATAATCTATTAAACTATAAGAAGTATACGACACTCGTCGTAATCTCTTTTAGCGTTCGTTAAAGCCTCGTCGATATAATTAAGAAGAAGAATTAAGAGAGAAAAGATTCGAGTAACTTCGATATATAAGTCTCGTAAATATTTAATCTACGATTTAATATCTCTTAATAGCTCTAGAATTATTCTTTAAGAAATCGAGGGCTAGAATATATTATATTTATAGTTAGATTAGTATACGAAGTAAGTAATTCGTCTATAATCGCTATAAGAAGATTTATAGCGTTACTAGTAATATTAATATAATAACTCGATATCTAAAGAAGATATAATCTATAAATTCTACATCTTACGAAGTTATAGAAAAGAGGATATGAAAGAGAGAAGCGATTAATATAGCGATATTCTAAGGTATTTAAATAAGTTAAAAGATAGAAGAAGAGAGAAGAAAGAAACTCAAGGGTATAGAACTCGATAAAGCTACTCTAGATGTTATGAGATATCTTAGGGCTACTTATAGGGTTACTAGCGTAGACTTAACACCGTACAGTATACGATAACGATATTCTAAGGGAGTATTAATCTTAGAAAGACTCGATAAAATCGACTCGGGATTATAATTGGAAAGCTTGCTTTCTTAATACTCGAGACTTGAAAACGAGAATAGGTGCTACGCTAAGATGCTAGTGATTAATTAGATTATTAAATCCTATTATTTCTAGTCTAAAACATATCTTATTTCTTCATTTTTGATCTAAATACGAGTACGTCCAAAAGAGAAAGCACTATAAGACTAAACCTCGAATATCAACTTTATTAATTTATTCTATTTAATTCCTTTTACATTACGTAATAAATAATAATAAAATAAATTTATAGAGTTATAGAGTTAATTATACGCTTTTAAATAATATAACAAAAACGAAATTTAATAAAATATTCGTAAAGATATACTAAAAACTAAGATTTATCGAGCTCGCGAGAAGAGCCCCTTCGATAGAAGCCCTCGAAGAGCTCTCGGAGAGCCCTCGGAGGGTTAGGGGGGTTTCAGGGGGTCTCCCCCTGAGTATGTCAAATAAATTACAACGTCTCTCTCTCTCGATTCTCAGGGTTAGATCTCTTAAAATCCCTTAAACCCTTTAAAGCTCTTTAAGAGCTCTTCGAGAGTTTCTATCGAGGGGCTATTAAAGCAAGCTTAAAATTAATTAAATATTATTAAAATAATTAAATTTCGAGCTTACTTTAATAGCCCCTCGACAGAAGCTCTCGGAGAGCCCTTAAAGAGCCCCCGAAGGGTCCGAGGGATTTTAGGGGATCTCCCTGAGAATCAAAAATAGTTAAAAACCAGTACTTGGCAAGCTTTTCACTACTGGGAAGGACACGCCCCAGCACATATTATTCCGGCCCCCCCTAAAATGTAGAGTCTGAATTCTGAGACTAAGGGAGTGTTACCCATGGGAGTATGACGCAGAAGCCCAACAATGCTTAGAGAGAGGCAATAAACCGTCCTATTTCGTCACCGAAGAAGACTGCAAGTTCTTTCAACAACAGGCCAAAACTCTTCAAGACCGAGCGGCCTACATACGTCAAGAATGGGCTAGACAAGAGGCCTTACAAGCCAAGCAGACTATCACTCAGCCAGCCCCTCAGTCAACTACTCAGCCAGCAACTCAGCCAAGCACTAAGCCTGTCACTCAGCCAGTCACTCAACCAGCCACTCATCAAGCCACTCAGCCAGAGCATTCAGTCGAGCAAGAGGAGGAGTCACTAGAACAGGCAAATGCGGAGAACACTGCGGAGAACACGGCGGAGAAACCAAGCGGCAGCAAGGACCCCAGTACCAAGGACACGGCTCAGCTCTCCAAGATCCCACGTCATTTGCTCTCCACGATCCCACGTCAGGTCATCACTCAGCAAGCGGAGAACACCACTACAATTTGGCCTATCATCCCCACTGCATTGATATGGTACATCACTGCAATGAGCACACAAGAGGAGGATCTACTGCGTCGATCACAGCCAATTGGGCCTCTGCAGGAGGAAGTTCGGACGATGCATATTTGGACGATTTGAAACCGTCCGATGTCTTGCTTCGACAGTCATTTTGTTATTCAGTTTTCACTGCGGCAGGAGAACTTGTGGGATTCACACCACTAATTGGCCTGGTGTCTCCATTTCTTTCCGGCATTCGAAAAATCATGCATGCATACTTCTTGCCATGAGGACATGGCATTTCTCTGTTTTTTGTGGGCAATTGTCATGAGATGCCTCAGGGCTACCCATGGGGCCACTAGCGTAGGCTTGGCACCGCACATATCTGCCTTGGAGGCACATAGAATAATAAACAATGTTTACACCACACACATATATGAGTCAAATCATAATGATTCCTTAACACTAGAATACATCTTCAATAGACGATTCCTCAGAATATGCCATTCAATCACGTTGGGATAGAAGCTTTTGAACCTTCCTAGAATATATCAACCCCGTCACCAACCGAATGCTCTCTAACGCCGGCACTACCGTGAAAATATATGCAGAAGACTCATTTATGGGTTATATAACGACTATGTCACATGCTAGCTACAGCAATATCAGATGTCTATATTATATGTGATATGTGGATATCACCGAACCGCCTAAGGCTACCTAGAGTGGTTGCGTATTTCAGGAGAACTCCAAATTGCAAGCTGTTACTCCCGCACTCAAGGAGCTAGAAGGGGAGCATTTAGGGCGAAATCAGGCGGTAATTGTCCAGGATGTGATCAATGACTCCCTATTTGTTTAATTACCATCTTCTTCGTCTTCACTGTCATCTTCTGAATCGTAATCAGCTTTCAAGTGAACGTCCTCTACAGTCCCTACCAGCTTGGGCACAAGCTTAAAGCGCGTGAATCGCGCTTCTCCTTCGATTCCGCTACTATCCAATTCAACTTCGATAGCATCTAGCCCCTTATCCTCATCTGCGCCGAGATATTTTTGATCCTCTCTCTGTCTTCTCAACTTACGGAAGATTCTGCGCGGATCCCACTGTATGCCGCAAAAGAAAAGAACAACTCCGTCTTTCTAAATTGGCCGGTTAGCAAACATTTTCACAGCAATTAATAGCCGAGAGCTGGTTGATAGTACTTACATCCTCTTGTTCGATCCACGAACCGTCCTGCCGTTCCCTAACCCAGCTTGAACTAGGCGCTATACTCCCAACGTCGGCCGCTTTGACTTCGACGGTCCAGGAGAATGTTGTTTGATGAGAAGAGAGCACAGCGAGCACACGGCGCTCAGCGACGTGGGTTGAGGTGACGACCCAGATTCCATTGGTCTGTGCGTCTTTGAATTTTTCCAGAATTGAACTGGCGTTTTGAGCCAACCAGTCCACGGCTGTGGATAGTGGCTTTGCTCGACGGTGCTTAACTTCTCCATCGGCCATCATTATGGCGCCATTGCCCTCGGCTTTCTGATATTCCATTTTGATCCTTCCCCCAGCTTGCATACCGGGTACACTGAATGCTTACTGTTAGAAGAAAAAGGTTGGGACTCTTGGTTGGGAATGATGATGTCCAGCAGATATGGTAAGTGATTTTTGAAAATTTTGAAACGAGATCAAACATAAGATTGTCAATTCACTTACTCAGCGCCTGCATCAACATCGGTACTCGACCACGATAAGTTCTTGGAAGTTTTGGCCTGAGGCCATTTCTCTTTTCCTGCCTTCTCCACAGTAGCAAGATCCTTAGGACAGGTCCACCCAAGCATATTCATGGCCGCCTCATCTGTCATCTGGGCGATTTTGTTCCAGGCCCCGTTCTCGTCGATGTAACCACATGCTCCTGGCTTCAAGTCTCTAGCGCTAATCTGTTCGTATGTTGCGTGACCTTCAGGGTGGTGTTGAAGGCATTGCGCAAAAACCTTGTCCAGTCTATCTTTAGGGGCAGACATTTGTCTATATATTTTTAGATATAGTCACTGTGCTGAGGAGGTTCGATATTAACGTTAAGAGCATAAATCTAGAACGTACAGTCTCTTAAAGTCTGATCCAGGTAAGGAGTGAAGCAGTGGTAGGATGAGGCTCAGAGATATCTCTTACCCCGCAGACAGCCTTACGGCGACGACGGAGAGTGGGGTAATCTTGAGGATCTCACAGGTCTTAAGAGTACTCCTTTTTGCAAAACCATTTGCGGGAGCGCCCGTTTGGCAGCCACCCACCAAATTTTCGCCGTAACCACCGCCAAATGTGCGCAAGAGGTACTTCGCATTACATAGACATAGAACCACATTCAAGTAGCCATTTAAGTAGCCGTTGCAGTAGTCACTATAGCTATTACAAGTAGATTATAAGTAGTTATTATCTAAAAATCGAGTAGAACCTCCAGGTATTGGGTCATGAAAAAAAAATGGTGACAATGGAGCTCTATGACTGCACTCCCTGCACATCGCGTATCAGACGGCTGGACTGTGCCAGAAACACGTCGTCAAACGACTTATTGACAGATCTTTGTGCGCGAGACTGATCTATAAGGATGTGGTGTAGTGGTGAGGTATGCCCCATGATGTAGCTTCACCGGACCACCTCTTGCCAGCCCATGCTGTCTGCAGTGCTCCCCGTAGTGCTCCCAGCAGTGCTCTGTCCAGTGGTCCCAGTAGTAGTGCTCTGTTCAGTGGTCCCAGTAGTGGTCCCAGTAGTGCTCTGTCCAGTGGTCCCAGTAGTGCTCCCAGCAGTGCTCTGTCCAGTGGTCCCAGTAGTAGTGCTCTGTCCAGTGCTCCCAGTAGTGCTCTGTCCAGTGGTCCCAGTAGTAGTGCTCTATCCAGTGGTCCCAGTAGTGCTCCCAGTAGTGCTCTGTCCAGTGGTCCCAGTAGTAGTGCTCTGTCCAGTGGTCCCAGTAGTAGTGCTCTATCCAGTGCTCCCCGTAGTGCTCCCAGTAGTGCTCTGTCCAGTGGTCCCAGTAGTAATGCTCTGTCCAGTGGTCCCAGTAGTGGTCCCAGTAGCAGTGCTCTGTCCAGTGCTCCCAGTAGTGCTCCCAGTAGTGCTCTGTCCAGTGGTCCCAGTAGTAGTGCTCTGTCCAGTGGTCCCAGTAGTAGTGCTCTGTCCAGTGCTCCCAGTAGTAGTGCTCTGTCCAGTGGTCCCAGTAGTGCTCTGTCCAGTGGTCCCAGTAGTAGTGCTCTGTCCAGTGGTCCCAGTAGTAGTGCTCTGTTCAGTGGTCCCAGTAGTAGTGCTCTGTCCAGTGCTCCCAGTAGTGCTCTGTCCAGTGGTCCCAGTAGTAGTGCTCTGTCCAGTGGTCCCAGTAGTAGTGCTCTATCCAGTGCTCCCAGTAGTGCTCTGTCCAGTGGTCCCAGTAGTAGTGCTCTGTCCAGTGGTCCCAGTAGTGGTCCCAGTAGTGCTCTGTCCAGTGGTCCCAGTAGTGCTCTGTCCAGTGGTCCCAGTAGTGCTCTGTTCAGTGGTCCCAGTAGTGATCCCAGTAGTGCTCTATCCAGTGCTCCCAGTAGTGCTCCTCTCAGCGAGGCACAACGGTGATTGTTGGAACGACTCAACACTCGCTACCACTAGTACTCATTCGGTCTAGTCATTGATATATGAAGGCATTCTCTATATATAGATATCCTTCTTTCTTAGATATTATTAAGAATATTATATCTAGTAATAAGTCTTATTATAGTAGTAATTATATATCTAGATATTTATTAATATTAATTAATATACTTTAATAATAGTATATAGATTAGTAAGGCTATACTTTTAAAGAAAATTCGCCTTAATATCGCCGCGATAGCTTTATACGATTTTATAATTACTTAATCGATTTAGCTCTCGAGTAATATTAATTAAATAGAACTATAATTTCTACTTCTATAATTTCTATAACTTCTATTTAATAGAGAAAATACTTAGAAAATATTAAATATTATTAAGCTTTATATTATATTAATATATAATATATATCTAAAATAAACTTTAAGAGTAAGAAATCTAACTCTTTAATTAAATTATCTAATATTATAATTCTATATTAATTAGAGAATATACTATTTAAAAAAGTCGAATTAATAAATATTAATAAGAGACTTAAATAATTTATTCTTTAAAGAATATAAGAATATAATAAAAATAAATAAGACGCTCTCTCTAATATCTTTATTAAGAAATTTTAATAATTCGCTAAAGAGAACTTTAAGACCCTTTTTAAAAAGACTATCTATAATTTACGAAACTATTTATAAGTTAATAAAGTCTATATTAAGAAAGAATAAGAGGTTTTAACGATTAAATTATTAGCTAATATAATCTAAGAAGACATTCTATAGTTACTAAATAACGAGAATTATTCTTTATTAAAGTAGTAATAATATTATCTTTCTTAGTAGTAGCTAATTCAGCCATAGCAGCCTTATCGATTAAAGAATACTATTTCTCTCTTCTTATAATCGCCTTATTATTAGCCTTATCGATCGAAGAATACTATTCCTCTTCTCTTATAATCGTTTTATTAATTGAAGAATTTTACTTCTAACTCTCTCTCTTAATACTAGTCTATGACTTAAATTATTAAGTTTTATATCTACTATCTACGCCTTATTAAGTTATTTAAAACTTCGATATTAAATAAAATTATAATTATAGTAAGAAACTTACTACTCTAATTAAATTATATATTAGCGAGAAGAAGTATAATAAAAGTTCTATTAAGAGTCTTAGCTATAAATTTATAATTTTTATAAATTTTTATAAGAGAGCCGAGATCCCTTAATAGATTCTTTAAATAGTATTTTTAATTATATTAAAATTAATAGTATTAAAATATTACTACTCTAATTATTAAGAAATTAATCTTACTATTTAATAACTCTTCGATTAATTTTAAAGCTATTTCGAGAGAGAAGAATATTATTATCTTATACTTTATAAATAAAATAGTATTAATCTAAAAGGCTTACTCTAAACTAATCTTGAAAAAAATAAAAAAACTATCTTTAATAAGATAATTTAATAACTTCGTTAAATTTAAAGAGAGCTAAATTACGAATTTCAATTAGATATAGTACTTCGAAATAAGATAATTATCTCTTATAGTAATATCTCTATATATAGTATTATAATTTTATAATAAACGATTATAATTATAAGATTAATTAATAATATCTATATTATAATTGAGAATTATAAAGAAGTTATAAAGACTAAGAGATTCGAGTTATTTAGATTTATAATATACTTTATTAATTAAAAGTATTATATTAATTAATCTTTAAATTAGTTTTTAAATCAGGGTAATTATAATAGACTATCTTCGAAAATAAATAACTTTTAGAAGTACTATATCTATAGAAAGATACGTTATTAATTAATTAAATATATTAATAAAGAATACTAGAAGTCTTAAAATAAATTTATTAAGCGGTTTATCGACTCGATTAATAAGCGATATAACTTTTATATTTAAGAGTTTAAAGATTAAAAAAATAAGACTGAGAATTTTAAGATCTTAACTCTCGATATTTAAGATAATAATTTAAAGAAGATTGAAAACTTTATTATAATTACTTTTATAGTTATATTAAATTAAGCCTAAATATATTATTTAAAGCTTTTTAATTATTTTATATATTATAATATTATTAAGTTTAATAGCTTTTTTAATATTAGCTAATATATCTTAAAGTAGTTTTATAATATTATACTAGATATCGAAGTTATATATATATTTATTATTAAATATAATTAAGTAAAAGTCTATATAAGGGAATTTAATATATAATTAAATATTAATACTAATAATATTATTATTTAATTTAAAATTAAAATAATAGTATTAATTAGAAAACTTATAGTAAATTCGTTTATTAACCGAGTCGATTTTCACGTAATATAAATTAATATTCTATTTTTATTATATATTTAAGATATAAATAGACTAGAAATCTATCTAAATAATCTTAAGAATTAAGTTATTTTAAGAAATAATTTTATAATTCTAATTATTCGCTTTTATAAGTATTTATTTTTAATATAAAGTCTTATATTAGTTAATTATCTAACTAATATCGAGTTATATTAATTATATCGTTAATTTAGCTATTTCTTAGTTAATAGATTTATTTAAATTCTAAAGAAAGCTAGTTATAATAATTTAGAATATTATTATATACTTAAACGAATTATCGAGTTCTATATACTTTATTAGAAGTACTCTCGATCTCTAGATTATTTTAAATTCTTACTTAAGAATAAGAATAATATCTATTTTAACTATATAATTATTATCGATATTCTCTATATTAATAATAGTTTAATTCTATAAGTTATTAATAAGAAAACTTTATTTTAAGTTATCTAATAATTAATAAATATAACTATCTTTTATATATAAGATATACTTAGACTATATTAAATAGATATATATATTAAATTTTTAGATATTATTATTTATAACGCTAAAACTAATTTTAATAATATTAAATTTAGATAAAACGCTAGAACTTTAAATATTTAAACGAAATATATATTAGTTAAAATCGCTAATTCTATTAATCTAATAAAATAATATTATACTTTATTAAGATAAGTCTATTCGATAATTATTACGAAATTAGAGAATTAAGATATTAAAAAGAAGATTTATCTATAAATAACTATTAAGGCTATTAACGATATAATTAAATATAATAGCCTTATTTTTATATTACTAGTTTTTAAAATCTTTTCTTATATTATAAATAACGATATATTAACTTTATCTACTATCGAGAAGATAAAAGCTATTAATATAGTAATAATTAAAATTATAAAACTTTACGCTAAGAGATAGATTAATAACCCCTTATATTAGCGAAATAGCTTCTAGATAATAAAAATATATAATATTTTAATTAATTTCTCGATATTAATTTAAAAAACGTATTAAAAGAAGTAAATCGGATTATATAAATTGCTAACTACTTCTCGA